AGCATGGAAATCGGAAGTGGTTATCACAATAGGGGGAATCTTTTCCTTCTTGGCATTAAGCCGGGAAAGTTTACTAGAATTTTTCTTGGATGATGGATCATTCTCATCATCCGTGAGCAAATCAAATTGATTACTCAAATTAATTTCTTCAGAAGGGGGGTCAAGAGTTTGCCCCTTTCTTTTGCGTTTAGGCGCCATGGCGGCAGTAATTTTTTTATCCAAATCGACTTCCAAGCAGATTACTATAAGAATCTGAAGGATCGAAGAGGAATTTTCCAAATCGATATCCAAGAAGGATTACCTCGGGTAGGGTCCAAACAAGGATCGAAGAGGAATAAGAGGAGTTGAACAAGGTAGAAAATTTTTACAGGTTGAGCACTGAAAAGTGCTGTTTAAATTTGTTGTAGCTTTAGGTAGTAGTAACACTTCCTTAAGCAAAAAGCAAATAGATCCGCACGGCAAGAGAGCACGATGCGGACTGACCGCGAGTGGATTATTTCAGTTTCCAACTCTAGCATGATGCTCCAAGAAATTTAGTATAAGTATTCACAGAATTGGTCATGTTTGTAGTCTAGTAAAACATTAATTTAACAATTTTTTTTTTAAATAGTTCTAGAATATGGATTTGGGTACGTTTTTAATTACATTTGTGTAACTTTAATTACATTCATTACAGAAAATTATTTTTTAATTACATTAATTACGTAATCAAATTGAAGTACGTGTTTCAATTACAGTAATTACATTGGCACTGCTTTGATTACGCAAAATTAAATTTAATTACATGAAATACTTAATTTTCATTTTTTATTACTTAATTACATAGTAGAACACCTTGTACTTCAAAACCAACGCAGTCAAAAAGGCTATTGCGTGCCCCTCGGGCACACGCTGATACACTGAAAAATTGAAATAGCAGGTTAGTCACCAAAGTTTTCGAGCCGCTCCGTCTGTCACTTCGTTTGTGCTTTAAGCCTGATCGTGAATCATTTATAAACATCTTTATCAAAATGTTGCTACTAATCGTTACACACAAACAACGAAAATTGTATTAATAAAAATAATACATTTTCATTTTAAAATTTTCCCAAAATTCTTAGTTTCAACAGCAAAAATATTCAAAATAAAAGTTGTATTTTTTAATTGAAAGTTTTTTTTTTTTACTTTTGACTCGTGATTTTAAAAGTACATATTTTTAAAACAAAAGTTGTACAACTGGTGGTGGCGGGGGGGGGACACCCCTCACCATCCCTCTCCGAAGGGGGAGTTTGGTAAAGAGAGATGAAAAAACCGATTTGTACCTTCCTTAAAAGTTGTCCTAGTTCGCTATTCTAATATCTATATACAATCTTCACACTGTCGTACTCTAACGGAACTATCAACTCTATGCTTTCATCTACTCCATCTATCGTATAAAAATTACCACTACAGTCTGTTATTTGAAATTAGCATCTTCAACTATTTTCATTGTTATTGTTATTGGATTTTAGATTCTTTTTTATATCAGATTATGAAATCTGCCAGGACGACATCACGCCAGTTTTCGGTATCAACCTTATAAAATTCCTGTCGGAGAAGGATCCAGCCCTACTACAAGCCTCGGAAAAACGAAAATTCAGCTTTGATTGGGAGAAGGACGAAAACCAGCTGCCCGTAGAATCCGTCACCAGTAGGTACTTTCTGAAAATGGAAAACAATACCAAGCTTGCCTTGTCAGTGTCAGGATTCTGTGTTCCTCGTATCAACCCTCACTTACCGGGATGTCTATCTGTGTCTCTTTGTGAATTTCGTTACATAATTGTTAATTAGTTGAAAAGGAAATGAAAATAAATACATTTTTGATCTGTTTTGCATAAATTATATATTATTTAGAATTTAAAATGAAAAAAAGATGATATTACAATGAAAATGCATGTTTTTAATTTCAAAATTTAGTTTTTTCTATTAAAAATGTTATTTATTGTTTCAAATATATCACATTTTCAAACCGAAACTTTGTTTTGAATTGAAAAGATGCCATTTTAATTCCACCACTCCCGAGACAGTAGTACAATTTATTTTGAAAGTTTTAACTTTTGAAAGTAGTGAGCGGTCAACTTTTGCTTTAACACTTGGCTGACTTTTGTTTTGAAAGACAACCGCTTTCTACCAAAAAGAACCAATGCAAACTTTTAATTCTACCAATGGTTTTATTAATTTTAGCAACGACTTTTCTTTGTGTGTACCTATGTAAAAATGTAAAACTGGATCATGATCGAGGGGGACGACTCTATCTACGATGCACAAAAGATTGTGTTTTGCTGTGGCTAGCTGCACGCACGCTGAATAGATACAAGGAAGATTTATGTCGATTTTGAAGATTTCCTGCAAAAAGATGAAGCACGATGCAAGTAGATGCGAGAAATGAAAGATGATTTTTCGAAGATTGATTCGCTAGTGTGAGATTTTTTGAGCATCTAGAATTGAGATTTAGATGTGTCACACCCCTCGATCATGATCAGCAATCCAATGCTTTACTGAAAAACAGCAAACTATATTTTTACCGAAAAAATCAGCTAACATAAACTAAAACCCAGTCAAAGAGCTGTCAAACTGTTAGCATCACAGTCGCAAGTACTTTTGCATTCGTACACCAGCGGTTAAACCGCAGCAGGAGGAAGAGGTATAAAAAAACTACAAACAAATAAAATTATATAGGTTAGGAAACTGGCTCGAACACTGGTTACACAGCAAAAAAAGTTGTTGAATATTACATCGAAACTGCTGCAACCAGGTCAATCCATTGGTTGTGTAATATCACATTGTACAATGTACATCGATTTTGCGAACAAAATTACATCCATTGATGTAATATTGTATATGCGTTTTGCTATTACATCATTATTTCATACATCAGCTTGAATTACGTTGATCGATATTACATTTTTTTTTGCTGTGTATGCTGCCAAATGTCAGAATTGGGTTCTTTAAGGGTATTGAGGTTAATGCATATTCGTAATCTGCATTGAAAATGGAACCCAAACCCAAAATTTCATCAATTTTGGTACACTGGAACTATTTTAAATAAGTACGATTACATTTGCAAAAATCACCTTATTAGCGCCCCTCGGTGTCAGTTTATATGGGAGCGAGCTGTCAGTTTGTCAGTTTAGTGTCAAACAGTGATGTTATTATTTTGCTTTAAATCTTGATTTAAAAATCGAGATGAAAGTGCGAGGGTTTGAAAAAAAATATCGCTGTGCTCAGAAAACGAAGGTCTTTCAGATGATATCTAAAAACCGATATATTTTTCAAAATTAAAGAAACCAATTTTGAATTGCTGAAAGATCAGTAAAGAAATATTGCTGATTTTCAGTAAAAGGTTGTCATTTTGACAGAAGTTGGAATAGCTGAAAAATTCAGCAGCATTATTTTGCTGAAACGTTTGCTGATCTTTCATCAAGTCTAAAATCAGCAAAATTTTGCTTCATTTCGATCACACAAATATCGAGTCAGCAACTGCTAACTACACTCAAAAGATATTCAAATCTAAATAGATTAAAGCTACGCCAAATCATAACTTTCCCGACCGACGCATAGATCCGTATAGAGAGAATACGAACTTAGCATAAAAATGGTTTATGCATGAGAAAGTATAAAAAGCGAGTATGCGAATGATGTATTAAAGGGATTTATCAGCGAAAATGTATTTTCGTTGGTTGTTGTTGTTGTTTCTTGTCAAATTCACTTTTTAAAATTGCATATATATGAACATCAACGAATAATGTGTTAATGAAATTTGATGATTACATAAGTTGATATTAAATCCTTAATCACTGTGCTTCGTTTTCCTCGACCTTCAACTGGAAACCGCTGGATTTTATGTTCCTGGAGAATGTTGATAAGTGATTGGATCTGCTGAGCAATTTGTAGACAATTCAAGACCAACAATTGAAATGGCCTTAACTCCATTTTGTAAACAAACCTTGTAAGGCCGTTTTCTCGTGAACCGAAGTCCGCAAAGGCAAACCAACATAATGAACAGGTAGGGGAAATTATCCTCTACCCGATTGTGGTTTAGGTTTGCGAATTAAGGTTTCGGTTTGCGAGAAAATGGCCTTACAAGGTTTGTTTACAAAATGGAGTTAAGGCCATTTCAATTGTTGGTCTTGAATTTTCAGCTAAGATTTAGTCAGCGAAAGAGCGAACATTGAATCATCAACGGCCCTCTAAATGAATCAATACCATTTCTGGAAAATTTGCGTTCTCTCCGACGGTCCATCGATATTCCTCAATTTTTTTCCAACTCGATCTCATTGTTGGTTTTCTTCGTCTAAAGCTAATAGGTCGTATGAATAAAAGTGTTTACTTTACTTTCCCCGTAAGAAAAGCACGGGAAAGTAAAGTAAACTCTTTTTATTCATACGGCCCAATATCTCGGCTTATATTTGTTTCTTGTTCCGACTGTTTACGACAACAAACTAGCAACTGATTTTTCACGCGTGAAGTGTTTACTAACAAACTATGATAACCTAGTATAGAAATTCAATCTTCTATAGATTACTTTTAAATCTAAGCGCTGTGTATAACGAATAAATATAAAAAAGGATTAAATTTTAATCTATTTCAGAAAAATAGTAATTTTGAATGTACTTCAAAATATCGATTAACCCTGATTGATTGATTCTAGATCGCCCAATTTTTGCTTTCCGAATTTTGACCGACTGGGCGCGAGCACAGTGCGTGAACTTAGCCCTTATTTTCTAATGTGACAGCAATCATCTGTCATCCGGTGAGCATCAAAATCAATACATCCTAGAAAACATGCTTGGCAATGCAAATTTATTATCTCTTTCACTCTCCCTCTGTTTTCAAGTGACAAAGACTTAACGTCACCCCCATTGTTAGTAAGAGCAGCGGGAGAATGAAAGAGATGAGCAATCAACATTGCCAAACGTGTTATCTATGACGTTGCATGAGCATCCCTCATCGAATAATAAAGGAACGGGGTTTTCCTGATCGAACGCGAATCATTTCCGTAGTTTTTCTCGTAAAGTTTGCCAGTTCTGAATCATTATTCTTTTCCGCCGTTGTCGTACTATTCACCGCCACCATGAGCTCGTCCGGACGCGAGGGACACTCTTCCGGGATGCAGATGTCCACCTCGAGTACAGTGCTCAGCATGGCGGAGAAGCAAAAGTACATCGAAGATTATGACTTTCCCTATTGCGACGAATCGAGCAAATACGAGAAGGTTGCGAAAATCGGACAGGGAACCTTCGGGTGCGTCAGAATCTGGGTTTGCTAGTGGACAATGGATTAATTTTTTTCGGTTCTTGTTTTTTTTTTTCAGCGAGGTATTCAAAGCTCGCGAGAAGAAATCCAACAAGAAGTTTGTCGCCATGAAGAAGGTTCTGATGGATAACGAGAAGGAAGGTTTTCCGATTACGGCCCTGCGGGAGATCCGGATCCTGCAGCTGCTGAAGCACGAGAACGTTGTTAATTTGATCGAGATCTGTCGTACGAAGGCAACGGCCAACAATCGGTATCGGTCAACGTTCTATTTGGTGTTTGATTTCTGCGAGCATGATCTGGCCGGGCTGCTGTCGAATATCAATGTCAAGTTCAGTCTGGGCGAGATCAAGAAGGTCATGCAGCAGCTGCTGAACGGCCTGTACTACATCCATAGCAATAAGATACTTCATCGCGATATGAAGGCTGCCAACGTACTGATTACGAAGAATGGCGTTCTCAAATTGGCCGATTTTGGTTTGGCTCGAGCGTTCAGCATCACTAAGAACGGACAAGCCAATCGGTATACAAACCGTGTCGTCACATTATGGTATCGTCCCCCGGAATTGCTGCTGGGCGATCGTAACTATGGACCTCCGGTGGATATGTGGGGCGCTGGCTGTATTATGGCGGAAATGTGGACCCGTTCGCCTATCATGCAGGGCGCAACGGAACAACAGCAGCTGATTTTCATTTCTCAGCTGTGTGGATCGTTCACACCGGACGTATGGCCGGGCGTTGAAAGCTTGGAGCTCTATCAGAAAATGGAACATCCGATGGGACACAAGCGGAAGGTACGCGACCGTCTTCGGCCATACGTGAAGGACACAAATGGGGTCGATCTGCTGGATAAGCTGCTTATCCTGGATCCGAAGGAGCGCATCGATGCCGATTCCGCTTTGAATCATGACTTCTTCTGGACTGATCCGATGCCGAGCGACCTGAGCAAGATGTTGTCTCAGCACACGCAGAGCATGTTCGAGTATCTGACGCCTCCGAGGCGGGCCTGCCAGATGCGGCAGTACCAGCAACAGATGGTCAACACAATGCAACAGCGCCCACAGGACAACAGCTATCAAGATCGCGTTTACTAGCCGTGCGACACCCGGGCCGCGGTTGCGTTGATGCGTTTTCGATAATTTACTTCATTAGCTTAACATTATTGGCTAGGATTAGTGAACTAGGCTTAATCGTATACCTTTTTTTTTTTTTGAAGGCAGTTTTTAGTTTATATTGAGACGAGCTACCTTTATATACATATACCATTCAAATAAATTGTTGGAAAAGTTGAAAGTACCATACCAATATGAACTGCATTAGAATCCGATTTCCAATTTGAGATTTGGGAGCCCGAATTCGGGAAAGGGTGTTTATTGTACGGTGCCACATGACTCTCTAGGATAGGCAAATTTAACCGTTTGATCTATTTAAACTTTGATTTTCAGTAGGTTCTTTTATGATATTAATGTTATTTGCTCATTGACATTGCGGCGAGTGACATTGATTGATATTGACACAACAAATTTTTCTATGTTTTGACAGATCAGATGGGTGTACACGAGGGGGGCGACTCTATCTAAGATGCAGGAATTTTTTGCTTTGTTGTTGTGAGATGCACTCGCGCTTAATAGATAGAAACACGATAGATTATGATTTTGAAGATTTCCTGCAAAAAGGTGGGGAGCGATACGAGGAGATGGGTTTAGATGCAAGAGATGAAAAAAGATTTATCGTAGATTGGTTCGCTAGTGTGAGATTTTTCGACCATTTAAAATCGAGATTTAGATGTGTCGCACCCCTCGGGTGTACATTTGAATCGGCTGTTATAGATTTTCGAGCGAAAGTTAGGCTTAAGTTTCATGTCGGTTTGTCGGTGATGCATTGGTCAGAGTCAGGAGAAATTGTGATTTAGTGTAACATTTACACTATTTAGATTTATTGTTGTTTTACATCAAAAGCCCCAATGATGTTAACCTTTTTTTTCCTTTGGTTTGTTTTTTCCGTCGATCTTGTTTTCCGTGCTGAGCACCAATGCTACCGACGTGCCAGGAAGGCAGCTCCCACACCTGGACCCTACCTATCGACCCATCAACTCATGAACCGGGGACCAACGGCTTTACTTCCCATCCGAAGGAAGGCGTGATCAGAGATGTTATGCCTCAGAACATCCCGGCGGCGCCGACTGGTATTGAACCCATGCCTGCTGGGGTGAGAGGTAATCACGCTTACCACTACACCACCGGCGCCGTTAATGATGTTAACCTTATCAACACTGAGGCAAAAGAACGTAAGAATTCCATAAGAACCACTTATGAATTTTAGCCACAAGGAATCGGTATGAATTTCATTGATTTGCCTTATGAAAAATAATATCGACAAAAAAAATAATGAAAGTGAGCGACTGAAACCGAACCATGGACTTTGAGATTACGAGTCCTGTGTCTGGACCACTCGTCTGTCAACGCTAATGAAATGACTAATGGCGTAGAAGAGCTACCTCATGTAAGACGAAAAATTTTCATAAGTCGTGCTTATGAAATTCATATGTGTCGTTCATAATTCGAGCCTTATGAAATTCTTAAGTCTATTTGCCTCAGTGAACTATAGTAAAAAGTTGGAAGGGTTGTATACTAGATACGACCTCAGGGTTGGCGTTGGATAACGTCTGTTATGTGTTGTACTTAATTGTGTATATTATATTTTAGGAATATTCCTTAATAACTCTTTTGCGAAAGTTTGGTGGCCCTGAAAAGGGCCGTTTTGTTGGGCTGAAATTGTTGACAATGATGGAACGGGCGACCTTGTTGGACGCTTATATAGTAGAACAGAAAATATCAGAGGTGTCAGATACTCGCATCTGATGTCTCGGTTGGAGAAAGTATAAGAATATAAAAAAATCAATCGATTTTCACCATCTTTAGACAATGGTTTACTTTTAACCATTTTTCAATAGTTTACAGAATGAAATCAATAGTTTTGAAACGTTCAGCAAATTGCTAGAAATATTTCCAATCGATTGATGCCATTATCTCGTAAATCTATCGAGAGACGGTTGAGTTATTATCGTTCAAAATCTTTTAATTTTTCGTAACGCATCAAAATGACTGTTTTCAATTTTGTACCCCCGTATGTTGCCGAAAGACGTTATCCAACGTCAAAAAAAATAACTTCAAGCATAGTCATAACATAAAAAAAAACATATATGGGAAATGGCTCTAATGTTGGCCTATGGATCTAATATTGGGCCCATCGCTAAAAATCTGCTATTCATCAATTTTATCTAGATGAACGCGTCATTGGGACGGTACTAATGGATATTTTTGGTCCCTATTGAAAATTTAGTCGTTTGCTGAATTTATGTATGGGCCCAAATTAGGGACATTTAGGCCAACATTACCTACATTTCCCCTATCTTATAGTCAGTTACTCCTGCCGGCGAAAAACAGAAGAAAACTTTCGACGAAGCGCATCACGGGAGAGATGAAAGTCGAAGACAGATGCAACTCTGTTGAATGTTCTCTGCAGTCCGCACAGTATGCTCTATAATTTGCGCGACGTAGAGGCAGTCTTAGCATAAGGTTATTACAAAGCGGTCGGGGTTGAACATTCAGGTCAATTTGCCTCAGGATAGCCTCGCAATCTGTCCCTCCTTGCAGGATATCGGCCACGGTTAGGGCTCTGCTTGTGTCTCTTCTAGTCCGGAGTTGTTCTAGGTCGATAAGTTGACAACGGCTTTCGTAACTGGGTAATCGATACGGATCATTCCAAGGCAATCTACGCAACGCAAAACGAAGAAAGCGACGTTGAACAGATTCTATTCTCTCGGCACCGTTGTTGTAGTTTGGGCTCCAAACCGCTGAACAATACTCAAGCGTCGATCGAACAAGCTGGGACACCGCGACTTTTCCGGTCGACTGGATGTAGGGCGTCTTGATAAAAGTCCCCAAGAAGGGGGATCCAACTGTATGCGATAACTGGCGAGGCACCATGTTACTGTGTATTGTTCTCAATGTTCTGTGTAAAGTTATCCTCAATGGACGCGACTCTCCGACGACAGCAGGCAGGATTCCGTGCTGGAAGATCCTGTGTGGACCATATTGTTACGCTCCGCATCATCTTGGAGCAGGTCAATGAGTTCCAAGAGTCCCTGTACTTGGTATTCATTGACTACGAAAAAGCTTTCGACCGACTAAACCACGAAAACTTGTGGGCGCTCTGAGACGCAAGGAAGTCCCTGATAAGATCGTCATCGAAGCGAAGTACGAGGCTTTCTCATGCAGTGTTGTACAACGGAGCTTTGTCTGACCCGATTCGGGTATTCGCGGGTGTGAGGCAAGGATGTATATTATCACCGCTACTGTTCCTCATCGTAATCGACGAGATTATGGTTGGAGCCGTTGACCGTGTACCGAACCGTGGGTTGCTGTGGCAGCCTATTTGCTATTACCATGGAGTATCTCAACGACTTCGATTTGGCAGATGATGTTGCGTTATTAGCACAACGGCGCTCTGACATGCTGAGTAAGCTCGACGATCATCAGCGTCAACAAGACCAAATCGTTGGATGTCAACACGGAAAACCGTTCCAATTTCACGGTAGCTGGGCAGGCAGTGGAGAAAGTCGAAAGCTTCCAATATCTTGGCAGCCAGATAGCGTCGGACGGCATTATAGAAGGCGATGGCTGCTTTTGCCAGTTTACGAAATGTATGGAGAGTGAATCAGATCAGTCGACGCACCAAAATCCGAATTTTTAACTCGAACGTGAAGTCTGTGCTGTTATCAGGGCTCTACATTTTCGAAGCTCTAAAATGAACTCGTGTATTGTTTCTCTCATACATACGTGTTCGACGCTTCATTTCTATAACGCCTAGCTAGACTCAGCAAGAAAAGGACGCTTAGAAGGAAAGGCTGGCTGTGGAACTTCTCGTCGTTGCTTTGCTCATCGCTTTCAACGTAACTAACGTCGATTTTCTAGTTAAACGAAACCTAATTATGGCTTTCAATCCCCTTTCACGAACACTCTATCACCGCTCTTTCAATTTGTTTAAAATGCGTTATGTCCCGTTTTCGTTAATTTTTTTTAGATAAATTTGTGGGTGGAAGATAAATTCAACATATAACGTTTAATCTTCAAGTGTTTTCACGTGAGAAATACTTTAAATATGTAATTTCATTTTCCGTCATATACGTCATGAAACCTCTGTTGATGTGTTTCATGAAAGAGAACACTATCAAAGTCGAGCGCTCTTTCGCTCATCCGTTTCACCGAAGCTTGAAAGGAAGACCAATGGAGCGACGGGAGAAAGAGAGACAAGCGATTGAACATTTGTTTGTGCACGCCGACTGAGGTTCTAGAATGCTGCGAAGCTGTTCGACTTTAACAGAAAAAGAAAGCCAGCAGTCTCTTCGTCACATCGATTTGGTCGATTGAAGCTGATATTGTGACGCCCTGGCTGTTATACACCATTGAAACATGGTGCGTATCAGCGGAGAACACTCAGAAGCTGCAGGTGTTTATCAACCGATGCCTGCGGTACATAATTCGTGCCTGGTGGGCCCACAATTGGATCTCAAATTCCGAGCTTCATCGTTTGTGCCATCAGAAGCCGATAGAGACAGAAATTCGTGAACGGAAGTGGAGGTGGGTCGGCTAAACACTACGACGGAGCGGAAACGAAATCTGCAAGCAAGCACTGGACTGGAATCCAGCCGGATATCGCAGTAGAGTCTAAACAGTGAAATTAAGAACGTTGACCGAAATTAGACTTGGGCACAGGTCAAGGCCAAAGCTAGTAATCGCCCAGGATTGAAATCTTTCACAAAGGCCCTTTGCACCCCTGGACGTGCGCAGGATTGTTAAGTAAGATCGAACAAGCGAACAATAGAGAGATTTTAGACAGTAGATATCAGTGAAGTTTTTAGCTATCCTAAAAATGAACCCTAAAGTTCTTGACGCCTTATCGACAACATATGCAATGTGTTGCTTGAATGAAAGCTGCGAATCCAAAATCACACCCAAGTCTTTAACCTGATTCACTCGTTCGATTGTCGAGCCAATCAGGTCATAGCTAAATAATATCGGTTGTTGTTTTCGTGAGAACGTAATAGCGGAGCATTTAGCTGGGTTCACTACAATTCTGTTTAAACTGCACCAACTAGCGAATACATTCAGCTGACGTTGAAGAAAAAGAGACAGTCAGCAGTCGAGTGGATTCGTAGGAAGATTTTGAGGTCATCTGCATATGATAACCGAGGAGCTTCGATGACCAGATGCACGTCGTTGAAGAACAGTATAAAAATTAAAGGTCCCATGTGGCTTCCCTGAGGTATACCTGATGTAGCGAAGAAGCTAGCTGATCTAACCAACTCAGAAGATTACCGCATACACCGAGCCTGCCAAGTTTAGCAATCGCAATAGCATGGTTCAACTTGTCGAATGCTGCGGATAGGTCTGAAAAGATAACGTCCGTTTGAACCCGATCCGACATGCTTTCGATTACGATGTGAGACACAGCAGATTGGTGGTTGTAGAGCGGCCGACAGTAAACCCATGTTGATCAGCACTCAAATACTGCTTGCAATGGGACAGCAAGATGGAAATATGTCACTGGAGAGAGACATTCGGAACAGGCGAAGAAGCGGAATTAACAAGCTAGCAATATGTCTCTTCAAAAATACAGATGGAACTCCATCAGGTTCAGGATTGAAGGAGGACTTGAGCAGAGTCGCGGCCTTAGAAATCATCTCAGCATTAACAGCAATTGCACCCAGCGTTTGATCATTTACTGGAACGTTCCTGGCAGCTAGCTTAATATGGTCGTCAGTTAATATCTTATTAGTGAATACACTGGCAAACTTGTCGGAAAAAAGGCGGTATATATCCTTAACGGTGGCAGCAACTTCTCCGTTGAATTTCATAGACGATGGGAGGCCGGATTTCCTGCGTTGCTCGTTCACGTAGTTCCAAAAGGATTTCGGGTGCAGCTTAAGTTTGCGCTGGATGCCTCGTTGGAAACTTGAAACGCATTCACGACTGACTCGCTGGTACATGTGATTCAGCCTCACATAATGTAGTTTCAGAGGAAGCGTACGATACTTCGTAAATCTTCTCAATGCTGCTCTCTTGATTGACTTCAACCTACGTAGCTCTCTCGTCTGCCAGGGAGGGTGAGACACTTTGCGGTGAGTTCTTTTCGGGACGTGTCTGTCAATGACATATGCCAAGACATGTGAAAGGGTTTGCGCTGCAGCCTCAACGTCATCTGGATCAAGGGTGTTCTCCCATACCATGCTAGACAATACATCTATGATGCTACGGTGGTCAGCTTTACGAAAGTCATAAGAAACCGTAGCAGGATATTCGTCGAAATCACGCACGAGTTTGTCCTCACCAGTGACAATTATAGGAGGGTGATGTGGAACCACAAACGAAGTGACAGACGGAGCGGCTCGAAAACTTTGGTGACTAACCTGCTATTGCAATTTTTCAGTGTACCACATGGCAACACCACTACTTCTGGATTGTACCACATGGCAACACTACTACCATAGAGGTAACTCTAAGACCACTGGGTCCCGAAGAAAATCATTATTATTTTTGGCTCACTCAGTACCAGAACAACGGTCCCAAGCAGTCCCAAGCTATTTCACTCACTCCTGCATGTTCTGCATGAATCCACACACCCCTGATGTTATCTGTCAAACTTTCATAGCGAATCAAAACAAACATAGTGTAGTAATAGAATTTCAACTAGAATAGGGTACGTTAATCGTTTGCTTGGGACCAATAGGCTACTAAAGTGGTGAGCCAATTTAAAATCGTTAGTTTCGTATTGATTGTTGCTACTACCAACAATCAATATGAAACTAACGATTTTAAATTGGCTCACCACTTTAGTAGCCTATTGGTCCCAAGCAAACGATTAACGTACCCTATTCTAGTTGAAATTCTATTACTACACTATGTTTGTTTTGATTCGCTATGAAAGTTTGACAGATAACATCAGGGGTGTGTGGATTCATGCAGAACATGCAGGGGTGAGTGAAATAGCTTGGGACTGCTTGGGACCGTTGTTCTGGTACTGAGTGAGCCAAAAATAATAATGATTTTCTTCGGGACCCAGTGGTCTTAGAGTTACCTCTATGGTTCTATCTCTATCACTCTACTCAAAACTGAAATGCATTAAAAAATGATAAAATGATACGCACTCTTTGCACACTGTCAAAGAATCATTGTACACGGCGAATGAGAACGACTCAAATTTGAGTTTAGTTCACTCATAATCGCCAAAAGTGCAGGAACTCAGCGATGAGTTAATTTGCCTCATGTTTTCCCAGGATTTTCCAGGGAAAAATTCCTGAATTTGAGAAAAGTAAAGATTGGATTCACTCAGTCTATTGGTACTACTCCGAGACTGAATAAATTTTTTGTAAATTTCCTCATTTTCCGGCAGATTTTTTAGGTTTTCCACAGGAAACCATGAGACAAATTTTACTCATCGCTGAGTTCCTGCACTTTTGGCGATTATGAGTGAACTAAACTCAAATTTGAGTCGTTCTCATTCGCCGTGTACACAAAATCAACTTTGTTCAAATCAAAACAAAAAAACTAACCCATCTGGTGGATGATGGCACAAGCTTCCAAGAAAATTCTGTTACAGTGAACCACATTATTTAAATGGATTTCTTCGCCATTTAGCCGTCTGTCACTTCGTTTGTGGTGGAACTAGCTTAGTTAGTGCACAAGGAGCCGAGGAAATTAATGGAGCCCCGTCCTGTGTGCTCACGAAGCAGAGGTCCAAACTACGATCATTTTCGTTAACTACATGGTTAATTGGAGAAACCGTCGCTGCGCTGCAATGGTTGAGAAGGCTAATAGCTCCTGCGTGAAATGTAGAGCTATCAGGATCTGGATACAGGAATCCGCTCCACAAAATGCCTGGCGGATTGAAGTCTGTGAAAACTAACCGACAGTGAGTATCGATGAGTTTATTGTCCCGGACTCGATCAGGTGGAATGTTCAGAGCGCATAGAAATAGTATACGATCACCCAGATTGACGCCTGTCCAAACCTGCTCAACATAGTTCCATGAATCGTTCTCGATGGCCTTAGCCTCCAACCCACCACGGACAGCTACAAGGATACCTCCACCAGTAGATTTACGGCTGTTATTAGGATTCCGATCGCAACGAAAGACCTTGTAGTCAGGACCGAAGACTTGACTGGAAAGCGTTCGATAATCGAGCCACGTTTCGCACAGGACAATTACATCGTAGCAACAATCCGATACAGCTAGGCGGTACTCTTCAACATCGGAATTCATTCCACCGGCGTTTTGGTAGAAGATCAACACGTCCTGCTTGCGGTAAGGAATCGAACGACTGCTCTCCCTGGAAATCACAGATACATCAGGCAATAAATGACCATCATCAAGTCTGATTGGATATTCGACATAGTGAGTGGGTTGGAAGTCCCCCTCTCCACATCCGACAGCAGGTCCGGGACGACTATGATGAACGAAGGCTGCTGATGGCAGGACTGAGACGGAGGGATTGGGTGCTTCCATGGGGCTTTCTACGGCGCGTCACAATGACTAACATAGTCCGAATTGCTGATCGGCATCAGGCTGTGAATAGTCAATATATTGATTGTACTTGCCTGTAGAGGCAAGGTGGAAGACTCCTGATTCATATCCAGCCACAGGTCCAGGACGACTATGCTGAACGCTGGCAGGAATCGGCACGACTAGGCTGGAGGAACCAGGAGCTTCCAAAGAGCGGTTTATTGTGCATCCCGGAGATGAATTAGGACGAACAATAAAGCGGATGTTGTGAATGAGCAGTATCAGAAGTGTTTCTCAACTGGAAATAGCCGGCAGATGCTTGAGGCGTTGTACTGGAACACGGAAGCTGATCAGGAAAATTGCTGTAGCTTATGTATGTATACTTGCCTGAAGACGATTTGAATATTGTTTGCGAGTACAGGCGTCACAAGATGCCAAGGAGGTGAGGGAGTCCGGTTACCTCCCTCTTCATGTTTTTTCTCATTTTACAACCCTTAGATGAAGTCATGCGGTATCAGACTGTTCTAATTATAAACAACCCTCTTCGCGTCGCATCATGCCACAACCTTCTCCCTTATCCTTTTTTTTTATTATTATTATTATAGTCACTTTAATGCTCTTGGGTCATTCGTGACTTGTCCGGGGTGAGATTAGAACTCGTGACTTTGGCGTGAGAGGTATGGATGCTTACCGCTACACCGGGGTCGCCCCCCTCTCCCTTATCCTTCAGGAGTTAGTAATTTGGTGGGTAGCAATTTTGAAGGATCCCTCGGTCACCCAAGTGCAGTTGACATGAATTAAAAAATTATATAAAAGCTATAAAACCCATCAACCAGGTTCATCCTAAACGTTGCAATACACAATCGACAGTGAGATCGATAGACACAACAGCAGCTCATTAACTTAGTTCAGCGTAAACATCAAACCAACTCAAACCGAACCATCAACAGGCATAAAGGAATTCAAAACAGTAGCATATTAAAGAACGATTGTACACTAATAGAGCAGTTCTGTTGTGTGGAGGTTTCTCTTTTAAATTATTATGCCTTAGTCAGTTCAGCCGACCATTACTTTTTTTTTAAATTAAATACAAAAAATAAGGCAGGTCCATTAAACGGTATAAACAATTTAATTACTATTTAAAAAGGCATACCATTGCGCGTAGATTAGCTCTTATCTAGGTAATGTTCTAGTCATATACAGCTTCCAGATCCTTCTTCTTCTTCTTCGCAATTTCAAGCTTATTGCTTATTGCATATTAGCTGATTGCGTGCTCTCAACTTAGTGTTCTAGATGCACTTCCACAGTTATTCATTGCGAGTTTTCCATACCTCTACCATTTTTGCATTAGTATAATTGTGTGGCAAGTACAATCACAACGCTATTGCCCAGAGAAGTCGAGAAATTTTTTTCGAACCGAAAAATTACTCGACTGTACCGGGAATCGAACCTCCATTGTAGCTGCGGCTTTACCGACTGAGCTAAGGGAGACATCCAGATCCTTGTCATTCAAATAATAAAAGCATCGCAGAAGTGCATGGACACGTGCCATGCAGCAGTCAGTACCACATCAACGTTCAACCAGACAGGATGTGTTCGAACTATTTGGAAAATCTACTCACCCAGGGTGAAAAGAAATCACTGAAAGACGACCTGGGTGAAGTCACGCTGCCCGACTGGTACGACGAGCAAAAATTCAAACGGTTGGTCTAAATTTCTTCCCCAAACTGCCAGTTCGTGAATTATTTAACTACAGTGAACTCTCTACAACGCGATATTTCAAGGAACCATCTAGTTATAGAATAATTCTTGATAGAGCTGGAATTAGGGCGTAACAGCTTTTGTAAACAATTAATTCTCTCGAAACTCAAGGCACGCCCACGCAAACCAACATAACTAACTGGAAGGAGAAGTCTTCCCCTACCCGATGGGGACGTTGATTTGAGTGGGCGAGCCTTGGATTTCTAGAAATCATCGAGAGGAGTCATTGTTTACAAAAGCTGTTACGCCCTAATTCCAACTCTATCTAGAATTATCGAGTTATAGAAGAACAATCCCATCGCTATCACAGTAGCCATGAATCTAATGTTTACTGTGGTTCTATAACTCGATATCGAGCTAGTGGACATCGAGCTGTGGAGAGTTGACTGTATTCCTATTGTATATCAACAGTGCCCAGCAATACTTCAAACGAAACTTCGCCGCCATTTACTATGCAACCATTTGTGGATTGTTGACCGTACTGGCGATTCCGTCGATCCTGAGTGCCCTTGTCTTCACCACCGGAAAGCCATCGTTCCGCGTTGCCGCCAGACGTTATTTAGCCGCTCTGAAGCATACCATCAACTGGTACAGCGATGATCTAAAGGCACCAGGAAATGGGTCAGCAATATTATTATTTAATTGCAAGCTTGATTGTACTGTTATCAATGTTCTACTGCAGCTCCTTTCAGTCGCTGATCCACGTGCGACGAGTTCATTCCACTATTCTGCGACGTGCGGAAGCTAGGAACTATGGGATTATTATCTCCCAGAGGGATATGGCAGTTACACAGTTCGCTTTCCTAGGGTAATGTTCAGCTGATTGGAACGGGGAAGCTTCAGGTCTATCATGAAAATATCATTAATCGGCAGGTATGTGATACTGGCTCCAACGATGGTGGGTGCTCAAAACATTACAGAAGATCTAGATGCTCTATGTCATTTTTGGAGAGTATTCGGATATCTGCTTGGAATGGAAGACCAGTATAAGTGTGGAACTGTTAGGATTTATTTCATTGGTATTAACTCAAATCATTTCAGATTTAACCTTTGCGCCGAATCATCAGAGGAAACCCATGTGCGGATGGATCAACTTCTACAGAAGTTCATCAAACCTGCATTCGCGAAACGAACGGAAAAGTTCGAGGAAGCGTGCCGTCTCCTACTCGGAGGCTTGTGGTGTTTCAATTTGCTCCTAGACTACGATGCTCTGATGTACTGTGCAGGGCGGGTGGCCGATTCACCAGGGTTTGACCAATACTGGACGGACGGGAGTGAAGATGGATATATTCCGAAGCAGTTACAACAACTGGGTTGGAAAAGCCGCATTGTGCTATTTGTTATTCTCAGCATTCATGAAGTTCTGATGAAGTTCAACATGTTTCGACAGTGCTTCAATGGATTACTGATAGCATCTGGGAGGACGATAATGCGAATAAACGTTGCACTTAAGTTGTAACCATTCAGATTGCTTCGAAGTGTTTGTAATTGTAATTTCATCTGTTATCTTTTGTTGCTGGGGTAACCCAAGTAAAAGTGCAAGTTTTATCGAGGTTTTAAAGCATTGTACAAGTTTTTAACTCATGGCCTACTGTAGGACAGAACCCTCATAAAATCAATATTGTTACTTTGGAAGGGTGACTATCCCCCCTATTCTGCGAGTCACGTGTCTCTCTCTCACCGGTGAGGTGATAATTGTCACCTCGTGTGAGGTGACTCTCAATTTGATTTGCACGGAGAGTCTTGTCACCTCAACGAGACAGAGAGTCACGAAGGGTATGCGACATAAATCAAATTTGAAAATATTCACAGAAAAATATTTTCCAAGCCTTTTCTAAGTCACATTTCTCGATAGCTTTTCAAAGGGACGTATCAGCTTTTATAAACAATGCATTTGATCGATTTGGCGTAAATGGTATCTCGTCCAGGCTAAAGTCCTACAGTAAAAGTATGGACGTCTGTCAAAAGTTGTTCCAATCGAATCGTCAAATTACACCGCTTTGCTCAATTGGAACAGCTTTTTTTCAGTTTTGTGGTGACAGTCATCCATACTTTAACTAGAGGGCTTTAGTCCAGGCATGCTATCACCAATGACGTTTATATAAGGTCCGGGCCAACAGGCAGCTTGCGATGAAGTGATTTCCCGGGCCACGGAGCAAAATGTTCCAAGATCCAAACAGATGAGTAATACTCTGAACCAGAGTTGCGACCTATCACAATCACCATCATCAAACAGCTGATGGTAGTAACGCTTTGTACATTCCTATCAATGTACTCGTCGAAGCTCTCTCCATGACAATCCATCAAGTTGACGAAAGAAGTAAAAAGCAACTGGTGAATGTCGTCTTCTGTTGTGATCCATCACCGATCTGGTCATTCCTGACAATCACGACACTCATCTGTGCTCGTTTTGAAGCAGTTGCTGCTTTGCTTGCTTATGAGAGTGTGTTGGTGAGTGAGCCCAACAGCTTCCGTTTAATGTTGCCTGCTTTGTTTGTAACTCACACACTCGCGCCTGCCGAGACAAACTTGGAATGCGTAGGCATTGTTTTCATTTTCTTCTGTCGTTTCACTTTATCTCATGATCGTACTGCAGAAGTCTTCACTGTTTTCGTTGTGCTATTCATTATCAGCAGCGAGTGTAACGTTTTGCTTGTGAGCAGCGACCATTACTGATGATTGTTGTTTGCCATGGCTCTAACTCTCACTGCGTGACAAAACGATCTGTCAGCGATAGTCGGTTGATGCGAAGACGAGTGTCACGTGAGTGTCATGATATTTTGCATCACTGCTCTGAATTAGACTCCGCAACACGATTCGTAGGCAGTACCAGCAACAATCAATACGAAACTAACGAATTTAAATTGGCTCACTACTTGACTAGCCTATTGGTCCCAAGCAAACGATTAACGTACCCTATTCTAGTCGAAATTCTAGTACTACGCAATGTTTGTTTTGATTCGCTATGAAAGTTGACTGATAAAATGAGGGGTTATTGGTTTTTCCTATGTTTTGAGGGGTGAATCGATTAGCTTGGGACCGAAGAGAGTACCAGAGCTGAGCCAAAAAGTTGAGCACGTTTCTTCGGGACCTTCTAGTCTTAGAGTTACCTCTATGGTACCAGCGTATTGGGTTGCCTAACATGAAGACCAATTGCAACCGTTTGAACAAAATCATCCAAGCCAGCATGGTGGATCTCAGAAATATCAATTTTGCAAACAAGATTCGCTCTCTCCCAGCTTGTGCTAAGCCATTCTGGAAAATAGCAAAGGTTTCAAAAAATAAGCCCATCCCTCTCCTTTCCTCTCCTCATCAGAATTCGGATCCATCCTTACTCATAACCCCAGTTGAAAAGGCCAATGCTCTTGGTCAACACTTTGTGAATCCACATAACCTTGGCCATGCCCAACTAACATTGCAGGTTTTATAGAGGTTTTATAGCATTCTACAAGACTAAATTATGGTCTACAGAACCCTCATAAAACCAAAATTGTTACTTGGGTGGTGAGTCCCCACGAGCTTGCAGTACCGCATGCAATGTCTAGAGTCGCTGCCACCCCCGTAGTTGTCCCTGACGAAAGTAGAATATCGGCTGATGATGTGACAGCAGCGATTAAATCAACCAAGAACATGATTGTCGATGGAGTGGTCAACCTCGAGTTGAAAAACTTAAGTGTTGACTTCTTCGAGCACCTTGCAGCGGTCTTCAATAAGTGTTTGATGCTTGGCTACTTCCCTGCATGCTGGAAGTTAGCCAAAGTCATTCCAATCCACAAGCCTGGCAAAGACCCTATCAGTGTTAAAAGCTATCGCCCCATCAGCCTCTTGTCCTCCATCTCGAAGCTATTCTAAAAGTTGATACTCAGCCGTCTGCTGGTGTTTTCAAATGATAATAACATCTTTCTCAAAGAGCAATTCGGGTTTAGGAAAGGCCACTCTACCATCCACCAACTCGCACGGGTTACTAACATCATCTAGCGGAACAAGTCCGTTTCCAATACATCTGCCATGGCATAGTTGGACGTCGAGAAGGCATTCGAAAATGTCTGGCATGATGGCCTAGTGTACAAGCTGCATCGATACAACTTCCCGATCTTTCTTGTCAAGATCATTAAAAACTACTTGTCGGGCAGATCATTCCAGGTTTTTTAAAAACAATTCACCTTCTGATACGTTCAATGTTGATGCTGGGGTTCCACAGGGTAGCCCTCTTGGTCCTATCCTTTTCAGGTTGAGTTGAATCAACTCACTTGAAACGTGTATTTGGGCCTTAAGCTGGGTTTAGACTAGGCAAGTCACTTGATCAACTCAGTTGAATTCAATTGGCTTGAAAAGTTGAGCCTGGTTCAACTTTTTGCAATTCAAGTGAGTTGATCAAGTCAGTTGAATGGCTTGGTTTACACGTTCAATTCGCGTTCAAGTCAGTTGAATTCAACTGACTTGATCAATTGACTTGCCCTATCTAAACCCAGCTTTAAAGTTGGGTTTAGAAAGGGCAAGTCAATTGATCAACTCAGTTGAATTCAACTGACTTGAACGCGAATTGAACGTGTAAACTAAGCTGACTTGATCAACTCACTTGAATAGAAAAAAGTTGAACCAGGCTCAACTTTCAAGTCAATTGAATTCAACTGAGTTGATCATTTGACTTGCCCTGTATAAACCCAGCTTAAAGGGAAGATTCGAATAAAGTAATATTTACCGTCTGGTCACGTAATGCGTATCACTAGGAAGAGCGAACCGTCCCTAAAGCAGAATAAAGCCATTTTTAAAGTAATGATCGGCTTAGTTTTTCCATGGTTGTCGGTCATTGCTGTTTGCAACAATGCCTTCAAGAGCATTATGGATTCAACAATCGGTTGGTACCTAAAACATTGATTAATGATTTCAACCAAGTGCAAAATTACAAAAATGTTTGTTTGTTAGAAAATAATGCTGAACGTTACATAGAAGATCTTACCAACAATGCAGCGTTGATTCCAGTGGATAGCCACGATCCAATGTTCCAAATCTGCTTTCCACCATGGTTCGAAGAAACAAAATTCAAACGGTGCGAATCACCAATGGCCTATTTGAGACAATTGTATTGAACTGATCTCGAGTCTAACTTTTAGTGGACAACGATTCTTCCGCGATAACTATGTGGCGATTGGAACGGCTTCATTGTGCGGCCTTGTGTCCGTGCTTGCCATTCCATCAATATTGAAGGTGCTGATTTTCACCGAAAGATCCTCGACACCGGACATGGCATACGGGCGCTACGTACGAACTGTGATGTACGTGATGAATTGGTACTTTCACGAACTGAAACCGGGAACAACGTGAGTAAATTTCCTATAATCGCATATCGGTCCCATGTGAATTTTCGTCAATTTTAAGATAACAACGGCCCCGTTACGTGGGTAGATCACCTTTTCGTGGTACTTTACGGGATGTAAGATCTACCACCGATTTCTAGTCTTGACTACTTCAAACTAGGGGAACAGGATTTTTCAGAAATCAAAGGAACACATCTTAGTCCTTGTTACTTTTTATGCCTTGTTGATAGTGATAAGTCCTCGGGTTGCCTGGACCAAGGATGATCTTGAAACAAGAAAAAAATGAGTTAGTTATTTATTTATTTATTTATTTATTTCGTCAACCAACGTAGAATAGTACAACTAATACAGTTTTGTTTTCTTAAATATATATTTATATAAAAAAAGTAGTGTCAGCTTTCTTGTATTTTCTTTTATGAGTTGTGATTTCTTATGGAATAAAAATATTGCTTTAGTTTATTCCGAGACATTGTAAAGTCAATGGTTTCGCAGTGTTTATTGTAAGAGGCCATCATGCGGCTTAATGGCCCATATTTTGCATAATTTGTGCGATGATGTTTTATGGCAAATAAATTTCGATTTCGGAGTTGCCGAGTGGATGCATGGAAATTTAATTTTGATAAAAGTTCTGTGGAGTCAATGCGCTGCGAAACGATATCGTTTACAAATGAAACCATTGCATATTCACGACGCTCTTTTAATGTTTGTATGTTTATAAGCATGCAGCGTGCTTCATATGATGGAAGAGGAAATGAAGTCCAACCTAATTTACGAAGAGCGTATAATAGAAATTGTTTTTGTACTGATTCTAATCTTTCTTCGTGCGTGATTGAAAATGGAGACCATACAATGCTGCAATATTCCAGTATTGACCTCACATAGGCAATATATAGTGTTTTAATTGTGTAAGGGTCCTGAAAGTTATAGCAAAAGCGCTTGATAAAGCCTAGCATGTTATTTGCCCTGTGAATAATTGTATTGTAATGGTCTATGAAAGTTAGCTTAGAGTCTAAGATAACTCCTAAATCCCTAACTCTTTCACATTTGTCTACAGTTTGATTTCCTAATGCAATTGAAATGTTTGAAGTTGTTCTTTTTCTACTAAATGATATTAAGTTACATTTTTTTACATTCAATTCTAGTAGACTTTTTTTGCACCATATGTAGAATATGTGTATTTCATTCCGGAATATATTGATGTCTTCTT